GATGGGCGTGTCTACGACAGCGATGGCCTCTGTTGATGGGCGGGTTTAAGACCGCGATGGCCTCTGCTATGGGCGGTGTCTACGACAGCGATGGCCTCTGTTGATGGGCGGTGTCTACGACAGCGTTGGCCTCTGTTGATGGGCGGTGTCTACAACAGCGTTGGCCTCTGCTGATGGGCGTGTCTACGACAGCGATGGCCTCTGTTGTCTTGAGCCCTTGAGCTCCTCTAACTGTCCTCCAACCTCCCCGCCCAAGTTCCTGGGATCCGCTTGGCTTCCTCTCCGTTGTTCAGCTCTGTGACTATATTCTTACATCTTTCTACTTGGTAGTTGTCTTCATCACAGATTGATATCTCTGGTTCCCAAGTTTCCATTGTATAGGTTTTACTTTGAATGTTTCTATATCTGGGTTGTTTGCTAAGCTTAAGCTGTTGGCTCTATGTTTGAAGAACTCCCTTTCTCAAAAGGTTGGTCTGGGCTTTGAAAGTTCCTGCTTTTCTGGAAATGCCCAGATTGTGGGTTTGAGGGCGGTTATGATGGGTAAGATGGTTCTGGGATGACTGGCAGTTTCTCTGTTTCAGAGATGTACCTGCCATCCATTGCCTTCTTGTCTGCCTGGTTTCTGCTGAGAAATCAGCACTTAGTTCTAGTGGCTGCCCTTGGTAGCTCACTCTATGTTTCTCCTGATTGCTCTCGGGATTTTCTCCTTGTCTTTGGTTTCGGAAAGCTTGATCAGGTCTCTCCTATTCTGAAATTTCTACGACACACATATTGTTCCTGTGGATCGTGCCCCACATAATTCTTAGGCTTTCTTTGAAACGCTCTGTCCTGTTTTCTGATGGTTCCTCTGGAAGGTTAGTATTGAGAGATTTGTCTTCTAGCTCACAGGTTCAGACTCGATTGACTCAGTTCTATTCCTCGACTCTTTTAATGTATCATCTATTTCTGAAATCTTAGCAGCCATCTATTTGCTGTTTTCGTAGTTTAAAAGTTTTTCATGTATTTTTGAAGGTTCTTTTGGGGATGTTTTCCTGACTTCTTCCACCGTTGTTTTCTGTGCTTCCCTTGCTTTCCCAGTCTCTCTCTCCCAATCCGTTGCTGGGTGTGTGTGTGTGTGGGGGGGGGTTTGTCTTTGGAACTCCTTATCAGGTGGTTCCAATGTCATTTCTCCCTGAGAGTGGTGGTCGTCTGGCTGTGTTCTGATAACGTGTTTGAGCCTCTTTGTCTTGTTTCTTCCTGTGGCCTGAAACCACTTGCTGTTTCTAAGGCACTGTGGTGTTGTCCTTGTGTGTAATTGACGGTTGCATGTTGGTGTCATCTGAGGCCCTCACCACCTGTCTCATGGTAAGTGTGGCCGAGAATGTGCGTACAGTTCTGTGTCTGCTCTTCCTGTAGCAGCCGAGGGTAGGTTTGGCCTGGCGGCACAGTGGTCAAGCGTTGGGCTGCTAACTGCAAAGCCAGCAGTTTGAAATCACCAGGCACTCCATGGGAGAAATATTGGGCTTTCTACTCCCATAAAGAATTACAGCCTTAGAAACCCACAGAGGCAGTTCTAGCTTGCTCGACAGGGTCATTGTGGTCTATAGCTAGGTTTGTTTTGTTTTTTGAGTTGCTGTCTACTGATGCTCAGATGGTACAGGGATGGCTAGTGGCCTGCACCCAGTAGATGGGGCTGTAGGAGGCTATGTGGGGCTGGGCTGCATGGGGCTGGTCATTATCTCTTGTCTGGTGGGACAAGGGGGGGAAAAAAGCAAAAACAAACAGTGGCACACAAAAAAGACAAGAAAAATAAGCAGGGGAAAGCCGGCAAAGACCAGAAAGGAAAAATAGTTTCATAACTAACAAGAAAGATAGAGAAAGGAAAATAACAAAGGAAGAGAAAAAAGTAAAAAATAAACAAACAAAAAAACTATAACCCAAACTGGTGGGGGTTTGGTGGAGCTGAGAACAGTCAAGGAAAAACAAACAAAAAGCCAGGAGACAAAGGGAAGAGAAAGAGGGAAGGAGGGGGAGAAACAGGTGAAGGCAGAGGGGGTTTGCTTGTTCAGGGAAGGGAAGAAAAGGAACGAACAGTGAATCCAGGAGAGGGTTGTGAGGAGCAAGGCCCTCGTGTTGGTCAGGACCGTGTGCCAGCCCAGGGCTCACGGAGCAGGGGCTCAGAGGGACACTTGTCCTGCACGGAACACCTGTCAGTCATGTGTCATCTGGGGTCAGGGCACCTGACCTGGAAGTAGTTCATCCCAGCTCAGCTGGTGGCCAAGGTCAGGATACTTGTTCCTGGAACTCTTTTGGTCCCAGAGTGCACCCATGGGTGGGGGTGGGGCTGGGTGACTGGTGACGGAAGGAGTTCTTGCCTGAGGAAGTGGCCAGTCATCTGACACTGCTGGGGGCGGGGCTCTGACCCCAGGCAGAGCTGGGGCTGCTGGGGGCGGGGTGTCAGTGGCTGCGGGTGGGTAAGGGTGGGGTCTGGCCACACTTCTGGTCACCAGGTGGGTCTAGGAAGCAAAGCCAGGTCCCACCTTGCTGGTCACCAGCCACCAGGGTGTGTTTATACAAGTTCAAGATGGCGGCCACGCCAAGCCTGCAGGCAATTCACCTGTCTGACTCCTTTCTGGCCCCTTTTGTTCAGCTTCTCCTAATGGGCATTCAGTCCACGTCTCTGTCCTGTCCTCTGAAGCTCAGGGTCATCCGGTCTCTCGTGTCTTTGTCCCAGAGGTAGAACATGTCTGCCCGGTTCCCCATCTTGCCGAAAGCCTGTCTTTTAATATTCTGCAAGGGATTGACTCAAGATACAGCCTACACGAAGCCTCCCTTATTAAAACAGACAGCCCACCCCCATAGGATTACAATCACAGGCCTAGAGGTGGGGATTTCCAACACTTCGTGGGCTGGGGGTGGGGTAGGATGGGGAGTGGGGAGGGGGTTTGGGGGGCACAGTTCAGCTCCTCACCATCCGTCCACTTCATGGAGAAGCAGCGCGCCTTGGATAGTGGTTGCTCTCCCTGATCCAGGGCCATTGTTAGCGTACTGACCCAGCCTGCCCCTCTGCCCTTATCCCCTGGAGGTGGGGGCCCAGGGTGGGGGTCGGGGGGTGGGGGCGCTCCACGTGTGAGACAGACGGTTCAGGCCAGAAAATGGGAAGGGGCTCTCCAGCAGCAATCCCTGCTCCACCCAGCGGGACCTTCAGCAGAGCCCGGTCCCCACTGGCATTCTGCACGTGCCTTTTAAAGGAAGTTCGCCCATCCATGCCTCAGGCCGCCTCTCCCTAGAGCTGCCAAGGGCCCAGGAGGCATCTCCCCCACCCTGCAGGGCCCATGGCAGCAGGTCCCAGAGGTTCACAAGTCTCTCCTCTTTCAGATTCAAACTGGGAGAGAACTATACGGCCCCTTCTGTGGGACAAAGCTGCCCCCCAGGATTGAAACGAAGAGCAATGTGGTGAACATCACCTTCGTCACTGACCAGTCAGGGGACCACACAGGCTGGAAGATACACTACACAAGCACAGGTGAGAACACCTGTCGGTCTAGGATCCTGGTGGAAAGCTCAGAGCTTCCATGTCTGCCTGGACGGACGGTCAAGGGTTCAAGGAGAAGGTGAGCCAGGAGAGAGTGGGGGGGTGTATTGGAGGTGAGCTGGAGGGAACGCTCCTGGGCCAGGCTTGGGAGGCAGAGCAGGTGTGAGTGGGGTGGTCTAGGAGGCAATAATTCCTCAGAGTGGAAACACCCTTTATCCTCCCTTCCATCCGTCCATCCACCCATCCATCCATCCGTCCGTCTGTCCGTCCATCCATCCATCCACCTGTCCGTCCATCCATCCATTCACCCATCCATCCATCCATCCATCCATCCATCCATCCATCCATCCATCCATCCATCCAT